TCAACATTTCGACTTTAGACTCTTATAACTTTTTTTCTATAGCACCTACAATAAAAACAAGCATACTTTTCTTATATAATTCGGGTATGCGCTATCGATTCAGCCTATTATCAACTCAATTGGCCCAGCCGTTATTGAGATCCGATAATCTCGGCTCGTCTCAATTTCGGGCTCGCGTAAAGATACAAACAATACATACATACACGGTCGGTCTTGCGCTGCGCGTGAACTTGGCGCAAGACACTATCGTGTCTCTTGATTTGTTTCGGCCCACCATACGATTCGTTCATTTATCATTCTTTCCATAATCTTTTCTATACAGGATGATCGTTATTGGCCTCACCTTTTCCTTGTTAGCCTTGTCTATAAATACGACTTGAATGACCATCCTTCCATGTCTCAGGTATTATTCCTTGCATCAAAAAATTATTAAAAATTTGGAGTAGTTTTTCTTTGAAATCATCTGTCAAATTTTTTATCATCACATAATCGGTACTATCCAGATCAGGGAAAGATTTATCCTTAATGCTTTTTATTGCTCTATCTAGTTCTTGCCAAATAAGTTCCCGGTTTAATAAATGATGTTTATTTGTCTTATCCATTCTTATTTTGGTTCTCTGTTCAATCGTCCATGGTGAGCTAAGCTTATCTATCTCTTTGATGATCTCTTGCTTTCTGTTCTTATTTTGCCATTTGTTCCAGTCTACTAAATTCACATAGTATTTCAAAACGTGCATCTTATTCCAAACATATTTAAGGCTGTCATGCCTGTTTAAGCTTTCTGCAAATTTTCTAAAGCTTTCTTTTTTTTTTGTTTGATCACTTTGCTAGTTGAAGCTCTACTTCTTTTAAAATCTATATAGCTATTGAGGTCTTTCGTTTGTATGAATTTTTTAAGCTTTGCTTTCTGTCTTCTATTGCTTTCCTACACTCTTCATTCCACCAGGTAACCGCGTTTCTAACTTTGTCTTTCTTTCTATTTCCTTTATATTTATTATTTTCACCCTTTTGTTCTTTTACTAAGGCACTTGGTTTTCCCAAAGCTTCATTAACCGTTTGTCTCATAAATTCCGTTATTGTTGCGTATTGTTCTTGCCAGTTCATTTTCTTAAAAGATGTGGTTGACACTTCTTCTCTATCTTCTATACGTTTTCTGTATACCCTCCAATCTGTTCTTCTCTTTTTTGTTTATTCCTATTTTGCAGCTTAACGGAAAATGGTCAGAGCTCCATGTGTCTTGTTTTTGCTTATACTTTATTATGCCTGTAATCTCTTTTGAACAGAATATGAGATCTAGGTTTGTTGGTTTAGTTCCTCCTTCTGGTATTCTAGTTTTAGAATTGTAGTTGGTAATATACATATTGTTTAAATCCATTTCTTCTTGTAAAATGCTCCCATTCTGGTCTGTAACCTCACAATTCCATAATCTATTGTGTGCATTAAAATCACCTACTATCATTATTGGTAAACCCTTTTTATCAAAGTTGAATAACTCGTTCCACGTATTCCGGTTTTCTGTATAGACCTATTAAATTAAAGCTGTTACTGTTGCCATGAATTCTAGCACCTAAATACTCCATATTAGAAGATCTGACTCTTAAATTATTTATTACCTCGTAACTGATGCTATTGCTAATTATTAACGCTATTAGGGATGGGCGATTTTTAAAAATAACTCGATGTTTTACGTATCGAGTAAAAGAAAAAAAA